AATAGCGTCATTTTAACACACGTAATCATACATCGGAGCTTTAATATTGTTAATAATTGTCTCACTTTACACTACAGTGGACGGAGCGCAGCCTCCGTGGTGAAATGCCCATCCATCAGGATTATCAATAACTAGTATAAACACATCACATTTATCCCTGTCCCTGTCTTCCTCGTGAAATAAATGAACATTAATCTTACCCGGTAAAAACATGTTAGCTGCAAATCTGAGGGCTGATATTCCGCTTGATTGTTCGCTGCAGTTCGTCTCCATCCTCAGTCTCCATCAAAGTTATTAAAAAAAAACAAAACGAGTTGAGTTTACATCCTTGTCTGTTAGTGCAGCCGACCACGCAGCAAGCTAAAACCATTTTACTGTCAAATCAACTAAAGAAAAGCGATAAAAGGCTACAAACTGGCTTGTTTTGACTAGCTTCACTGGAGTTTCTTCGAGTGTAAACTGTCTTTTTGCCGTCCATCATGGCGAAGGGGGTGGTCACATGAGTGGTGTGACGTCACATGCAAAGGGTCAATAAACAAACGCGTCTGCGAACTTTTACTCCGTGATGTAAACTTTAACTCCTGCAGCGTAGAGGAAACTTGTTAAATACTTCAACACGGTGGATTTAATATAAGCTTTAAAGAACAAACTCTGGATGGTATGAGGTGAGTTTGTCTCACTGCAGAAATAACAACACACACTGAGCGTCAGCAGTCAGACGCAGCCGCTCACCAACACTCGTGTGTGTGTGTGTGTATGTGTGTGTGTGTGTGTGAGAGAGCGTCAGAAGGCAGAAAAATAACCTGTAGAATAATTAAAGTCATCTTTATTTTTATTTATTTATTTATTCTTCCGTCTCTTGAAGGGTGTAGACACTTTTTTCCTCCTCTCCTCCATTATCATCAAGGCCTTTGTCTGTCTGTGTGCTAGGTCACGGCTGCTTCTGCATTTTTTCTGGAAAGTGAAATTCACTAAAATGGATCTCGTCAGTTGGTCACTCAACGCGGTTGATAAAAATGTTTCAACAATGAGAACGAGAGAAGGGGCTCCCGGATGCCCCTCCGGGACAGACCAGCTGTCTGTGGAGGACTCTGAAGACGTGTGGATATTCGTGGTGTTGGTGTCGGGTTTCCTGCTCATTGGCCTTGGAGGCTACCTGGCTTACCGGAAAATTAAGGAGCTGTCGAGGAATATTGGCCTGATCCCCGAGCTCAGAGATGGTTTGCACTGCGCTGTGAATTCACAGACACATAATTGTCGAGATGAATCGTAAGCTTGGGACTTTGGCAGAGATTCAGTCATTGGCACAAAGATGGATGCCATCAAGGAGAGAGTGGACGAATCAGCACGGATTGGGATAGATTAGCGTCCATTATTGGGATTCTGAGAGGTTGAGGACCAACAAACTGTAAATTCTCTCTGTCTGGCCCCAAAACAATTTCTAATCGGAATCCGGCGCCCTTGAGCCTGCAAGGCTCCAACGAAAACTCCCCCCTCAGAAGATATGTGGAATGTGCCGTCTCTATGGCAACTCAATTCTGTCTCCTTTCCCAGCCTGGAAACTGCGGGAAGGCCGCTGAAACGTTCCAGGGTCACTGCAACCCTCCAACCCTCAATGCTCCTCCCCCTATCCACACTGAGGTGACATGCGCTGCTTTGTTCGTGGCTGCAGGAACTGAAGTGGGGATAGTTCCAACCCACCACCCCACCTAGTGGACACTTGTGTTGTGTGTTGTCTGAAGTCTGTTGCATATCTGTCTGAGGTGTTTTTTTTGCAGAGCAAAGCTGCCCTCCTGCTGGGAGGGTAACTCTGAAGTGCCTAGGGATGGGTACCTTTGACATTTGAATCGATCCGGTACTAATTCCCGGTACCTAGGAATCGATACCGGTACTTAACGGTACCAATTTTCGATACTTTTGAGTGTTTATTATTTTAATTCTCTTTTATAATTAAATATATATTTTTCTCAATATATAACAATATTTGATAAATATCACGATAAATATCATTCAACTGTTTGTATTTTAACATCGTCCTTGTAGTTTTATAAGCTGATAATTAAACTGAAGCAAACATCTTTACTGTGAACTAAAATTACTGTGTATCTTCATTCCTTTTGCCGTCTTTTTTCATTTGATTTTTCCTACTGGGAAGTTGGAATTTCCGAGGAGAAAGCGAACACACCATTAGCTGATAACAATGGTGGCAATGGAAGCTAACATATCAAGCTGACATTATCTTAAACAGTTTATTTAACTGCTGGAGCAGATTAAAACGATGATGCCTCACACTTGGATCGTTGTAAAGTGAAGCCAAACTTTAGAGCGCGTTCATGTTCTTCTAGTCGGAAATTCGGAGTTCCGAGATGAAAGCGAACGCAGCATTAGTGAAACGGAAGCTAACAAACCAAGCTAACGTTATCTTAAACATTTATTTACCTACTGGAGCAGATTAAGATGAGGATGTCTCACTTAGATCGTTGTCGCTGGTTTAATGATCATCACCCAGTTACCCATCATATTTAGTGAAGTGGACCCAAGCTTTAGCGTGCATTCTTTCTACCATGGTGCTCTATTTACAACTGGCTCGCAGCGAGCTACGACATAACGCTCTTGTGCATGCGCAGCTGTCTTGGCAAGTTCTCGTTATGAAGGACGGGTACCGAAACGAGGCACCGTTTGAAATGACGTGGATCGGTGCTCGGTCGGTACTATGGAATTCGGTCGGTACCTTAAAAAGTACCGAATTCGGTACCCATCCCTAGAAGTGCCTTTTATTCCATCCACCTGAACCAGTCCTCATGTAAACCTCTTATCTCTATTAAGGTAGCGCGACTCAGGGTTGCGAATGACCACAGTCACCAATTCTTGTCATGTGTCTTGCCCATGTATGTCTGATCTCTGAATTGTGTGTACTGAAACTCTAATTTCCCTCTGGGATTAATAAAGTATCTTTGATTGATTTGATTTGATGCTAGAGCAGCTCCTCTGTGGTGGACCACACCAGCTTCTGCCACAATAAATAATTATAATAATGCCACAATAAATAATAATAATAAATCACACACAAAGTTGTGAACATTTAAATTTCCTTTCTGAACTATTTCTGTTGAGTTTTAATGTTTAAAATCTGTTAGATTGTTACTGACAGCAGCTACTTTTAAGTTTCACTTCCTGTTCTGACTGAATGCTGCTGCAGCATGGAGGTGTAGTTCTCAGTCATCCTGGACATGATCATCCTGAGAGTTTTAGCTGAAAACAGCTGGACTTTTCTGGATATGTTGGAGACATTTAGCCTCTCATCCCAGAGGCTTCTTCCAGACTTTGGTTGTGGTCAGAAACAAACACACTGGTTGTGCTGCAAGTCTTCTTCTTTTTTCTTCCAAAACATGTTTTTGTCTAAATGAAGGTGATGTTGTTGTTCACAGAATTAAAATTCATGTTGAAGTTAAGATTATTTCATCAAGTAGGACCTGTGGTTAGCTGGCTCATGTAAAACATGTCTCCAAAGAATCGGAATCGGGAATCGATAGGAACCGGAATCGAAACGAGGAATTGGAATCGGAATTGTTCAAAATCAAACGATGCCCAACCCTATAGCGCATGCGCGCGCACGCACACACACACACACACACACATCAGTAAAGAATTTATATTCGGCTGAGTCCAGGTGAGCCAAATAAGGTAAGGCAAGGACATGCCGTCAGAGGAGCCGTCTGCCGGCAGCATCAGGTCTTCCACAGCAACCAAGTCAGGGCGCTCAGAGGAGGGAGAGCATAGACCCCGCCCCTCCCCCCACATCTTGAGCCTGATTGGTCCAAACAAAGTGTCTAGAAACAAAGGCTAAACTGGTTAATGGAGCTGCAGTTTCACTGTAGTTGCAGATAAAGCGACAGTAGAAGTTCACAAAACCAAGGAATTGTTTAAGTTGTTTCCTGTTTGTAGGGGTTGGCCAATCCAGGACTGCTAGAATCTTTTCTGTCTTCAACCCCCTGCTCTCCAATAAGAATCCTAGGAACTTTACAGAAGATACATGGAATTCAGTCTTTACATAAAGTCTGTTCTTTGGGAGGCGCTGTAAAACAGCCCTGACAAGCTTCTCATGCTCTGTGGGATCTTTAGAGAAAATCAGGATATCAAGATTTACTGAAACAAAACGGATGATGTAGTCACCTAGTACAGAATTGATGAGAGCCTGAAACACTGCTGGTGCATTGGTGAGACCAAAATACACCAACAGCTATTCGTAGTACCCGAGTGGTGTTTTGAATGCTGTCTTCCACTCATCTTCTTGCTTGATCCTGACCTGGTGGTATGCGTTGCAGAGGTCCAGTCTGGTGAAAATGGTGGCATGCTGTACAGGCTCGAACGTTGAAGAGAGCAGAGGCAATGAATATTTATATTTTACAGTAATGCAGCCCTCTGTAAATAGTCAGATCAAGGACTAGATTCCACAACTTTCTGGTTATGAGGCGGGCACGTAACTCCCTCCTCTGCCATCTTCACAAATAACAGAAGCCTGAAGGTGTTCTGCTGTGTGGTGGAGCTGCTAGGGCGAACGGTTAGTGCCTACTAGTAGAGATGTTCTGATTTTTCCTGGACGCTAAGCCAACAACAGCCTTCCCCATCATGAGTCAAGATGGGTGAGTCTATGAATGTTAAGTGACAGTGTGACTTAGATCATTGAACATTTTCAGATCCCAGAGTTTCACCATCAACATCAGAAGCTAATGCAGAAGGTAGATGTAGGAGACTAGACTGCGGACATATCCAGAGTCCCCTGTCCCACGCCTAGTGATGCTGGAGATTGACACCAGTTCCCCCGACCTTACTTGATCGAAACAATTAAGAAAATGAGTGTGAGTGACTCCCTGACCCGACTTATGTACATGCACATGTCGCTGGTCCCTGTTCTAAACACATAACAGCCCATTTTGGAAGATTCTCTATCCATGGTTTGAGGTTCTGTGATGGAAACTGATGGACTGATGTGTTTACAGATGGCATCTCCTGGAAACTGGATGCATCTTCAATACCAGTCTAAGCTGCAGGCCAGGAAAGCCCTGTCTAAAGATGGGAAGGTGTTTGGTGACTGCATCATGGTGGGAGTGAAACCCTGCATAGACAAGGTTGGTAACTATTGCTGTCATGCTCTCTGCCCTCTGATTGACTGTTGATCGTCTCAATGGCTGGTTGATGCCAACTAGGGCTGAGCGATCTATTGTTTTTTTCACCAAAATTGCGATTTCAATAATAATTGTTACAAGTGAAAGTGCAGCCAGAGAGCAGTGCAAACAGTGATTTGTTTTATTTCATGTTGATTTTCTGATATTATGATGGGATGTTTTCATCCAGCCCTACTCTACAACCTTTCATCTCCATGTTTCTCAGAGCGTGATGGGAAGCTGTGAAGCTATCTCTTCTCCTTTGTCCTCCTCTGTCCTCCCCTCCACTCCTCAGTCTGCCATCAGGCCGCTCAGCGCCTCCTACAGGAGCGTCGCCAGTGACTTTGAGGTAGTGCTGGACCTCTGGCTAGTTGTGAAGCATTTACTTTTTACCTTGACGCGCATCTCCTGAATCTCTGTCTGTCCTCAGGTGGTAGCAGACAGACAGACTCCCAGAAAAGACGATAGCTTTGTTTCCAAGGCGATGGAGTACATGTTTGGCTGGTGAGGGCAGCAGCTGATGAGAGCGGTGGAGTTGCAGAAAGCTGGATTCACTACAGTGTGTGTGTGTAATGGCATGTGGAGGATCTTGTCATCTGCATTTGTGACCTGTATTTTAATGTTTTGTCTAAATAAAGTCATAACTTTACTTTTGCTTCTCTTCACAAGAACACAAACATCTGGTGGCTTTATTAATGAAGCTGCTTGAAGCAGGGCCTGAAAACAACACGAGTGATGTGGGATTTATAGAGTAAACCTTGACAAGAAAATGTGGGAACTTAATTCAACTTTGGACCTGGGATAAGGATATTCTGGAGATGGGAAACCTGGCAGCACAGCCGGTGAGATAGTGACTTGTTTAAGTTAACACACACACACAGTCGGACCCCATCTCTGAACTGAAAATAAAAAAAATCTAATGGTGTTTTTAATATATTATGTTCATACGTCTTTAAATGACTTATTGGTGAATGAATTATGTGACACAGCAGGTCCTGGAGATCTCCTATCCAGCATGTCTTAGAAGCTTCCCTGTTTCAACACACCTGATTAGAAGCAGTGGTGATTAGCAGCTTTCTGCAGAGCCTGAGTGGAAATGCTTGAAAAACAAATTGAAATAAACAGGTTATATAGATAAGAAATCTGCCTCTTGGTGTAAGGATAGTCTGAAACTTTTTTCTAAAAGTGATAGATCAGGTAGGGTCAAATTGTTACTTTGTGAGGCTGCAATAAAGCTCCTTATCTGCAAATACCTGTAAAAATGTGTTTTAGGCAAGTAAAATTTAATTCTAAGCTGTTCGAATGACATCATTACACCATCACAAAAGAGGTCTTCAATTTTAGCCAGTCCATTTCTGGTCCATGTGTTAAACCCTGCGTCGATTACCCCTGGCTTTAACTGTTCACTACCTTATGATTGGGCTAAAACAGGATAGAGGCATTTCTTCTTTTAAGACCTCATGTACTTTATGCCATATTTTAACCGTGTTCAGTATGATAGGATTAATTATGTTTTTGTTTTTTTTAGAGTTTTGACTGACGCTGAGTACAGATACCCGCTCAAGGGCAAGCCCGAATTGAGTAGAAATGATTCAATGTTGACCCACGCTGGAGGTTGCTCGGAGAAGTGGTACATCATCGTGCGCAGTTGTGCGGCCCAGTAGTACTACTGGAATCATTTTGTAATCATTTTCTTTAATTTACAAAAAAATCCTGATGGTACAGGTAGTGGGATATTCCGAAATAGAGTAGTTTAGGAAGTATACACATCTTCACAATGTTTATCCGTCCGGTAGTTGAAATTGGTAAGTTTACCCACCTATCCACCATATCAGTAATCGAATGAGCTATAGGGTTGTAGTTAGTCTCTGTATTAACATCTGGTACTATTTGAATTCCTAGGTAAGTCAGGCGTTCTGAGTGTTTGAATGGCCATGGCATACTACCAGAGTTGGCTCTCTCAGCTTTATTAAGCAGCAATAGCCAGGATTTTGAATTATTTATCCTGTATCCAGAAAAAGTTCCAAAGGATCGTATTATGTTCACTAGAGTAGGAATTGATCTAATTTTTTCAAGAATATTACCACATCGGCCGCATAGAGTGCAATCCAATTATCTTGGGTGCCTATCTTAATTCCCGTAATCCCCTTGTGTTTCCTAACAGCCATGGCGAAAGGTTCTATGGCCAACGTGAAAAGAAGCGGGGACAGGGGACAGCCCTGTCGGGTTCCGCGGGAGATGTTAAATAACTTAGAAATATTGTTGTTGGTGAGAATTTCAGCCGTAGGCTGTGAATATAGAAGTTTTACCCATTTACCAAAAGTGTTGCCACATCCAAATCTATCCAAAACCTCAAATAGGTAAGGCCATTCAATGCGGTCAGAGGCCTTTTCGGCGTCTTAATGACAGAATAGCAGTGTCTTGAGCATCCCGATTTTCTTAAAGCAAATTCAGTAGCCTCCTCACATTGTGGTATCCTTGTCTCCCCCCAACAAAACCATTCCGATCCGGGTTAATCACAATTGGAAGACACTTCTCCAATCGCAGGGCCAGTATTTTGCAAAGAATTTTCTCATCTGCATTTAGTAGGGAGATTGGACGGTAGGACTGACAAAGGTCCCCAGGTTTTTCAGGCTTGGCAATTGCTAAAATCATTGCGGCTCTTAGAGAAGGTGGGAACACACCTTCCTCAAAGGATTCCGAATACATTTCTAGCAGCGATGTTAAAAGTTTATGTTGAAATTTTTTGTAGAAATCCATAGGGAGTCTGTCAGGTCCCGCCGCCTTTCCCACTTTCAAAGTGTCAATAGCTTCTTGAATGTGCTTAGTTGTTAATTTAGCATTAAGGGGCCCCCCGAAGATCCTCCGGTATGGAAGGAAACTCCAAGTCATCTAAGAAGGCACCTTGTACAAAGTCTTCATTTGTATATTCAGAACTATAGTTTCTTATAAAATTCCCCAAAAACTTTGTTAATTTCTTCAGGATTAATTACTATTTCTCTTCAAGTTTTCTTAATAGAGTTAATTGCCCTATCAGTTTGTATTTGTTTAAGACGCCATGCTAGTAGTCTTCCAGGTTTTTCCCCTTGGTCATAAAAAGCCTGCCTAACTTTCTTCAGACTATCTGCTGCTTTCTCTGCAGTGATTTCATTATATTGAGCTTTGAGGAGAAGTAATTGTTGTTCGAGATTTACCCCCTGGTTGACATGAATTTGATTCTCCAAGTATTTAATTTTATTCTCAAGTTCTGTAGTCTTTATTCATTTATTTATTATACGGGCCCTTTAATGAGATGGTCCTGTCACGGGGAGAAAGTTGTTAGCAATAAGGATCTAACGTGACGTAGATGGCAATTTGAATGAACTCAGTTCAGAGAAATGGAGATAAGATTTCGTAGCTAACAGCTAGTCAGAGGAGACAAATGCTGTTGCATGCATGTGTGTTTGTGCGAGCAAGGCTGCAGGATTAACGTGTCCTTTCTATTATTTAAGCAGAGGAAAAACTCTGGAGCTTCAGAAAGGTTTTTTTGTCTCTCTGGATGAGTGAACACATGGTGTTCTGATGAAACCTGAAGGACACACAGATATTGTGTTTTTCCTGCTTGAGGAGACTGAGCTGGTTTGGCCAGACTGTTTCCATGGTGATGGGCAGTCCTCAGAAGACAGACCTCTTTTATGTGGGGAACCACAGCATCAGTCTCATCATTCATCAGATGGGTTTTCTGGACTTGCTGCTTTGTTCTGAACTATTCGTCATTAGGAAGCTGTAAGAGACCCGGCGTGGGATCAGGCAGAACGGTGGAAGTGCATCCAGGAGACTACGGTGGTGACCGATCTGAGAACATCTGGGTTTCTGTTAAACAGCTCAAATATGTTAATTATTGAGTTGAATAATTAAGAATATAAATACAAAATTAGAAGCATGAGCTTTCTTATGGAAGTTTGATCCATAACTGAGAAATTTAAAATGATTGAATTTTGTTGTTTGAGATGAATCGAGGTCAGAGCTGCACCAGAACCACTAAAACAGCTTTAGCACACACAGCCTGCTGCTGACAGAAGTTACACACACCTGCACTCTAAGGCAGATCATCCTCTGGCAGCTTTTATTGAAACTGACTCACTCAGCTGCACTTTCAGAATGAGGGAGTGAAGGGCTCCAGGTGAGGGTTCTGCTGGAGCTCACGGACCAGCGCTTAGCACCGCCGTGGTCTCTCACTAACGTGTCTGGCAGCAGATCAGCTGATGATCCATGCAGCGGAGTGAAGAATGGGTTCCTCTGTGCTGCAGCAGGTACCAGGAGATGTTCTACACCACTGAGACCCTCTCACTGGACAGGCTCTGGTCTGACCGGAGCTCAGGCTGCTGTCATCACAGCACTGCAATGCAGATCCATAAATTTCCCAAGAGCTGCAGCTTTGCTCCCAACACCCACCTCCTTTCCTATGACCTGTGACCTCCACATGTAAACAAGCACCAACCATTGCTTTCAAATCTTTTAATGATCAAAAATACTTCCATTTGGATTTCTTGGTAGAGAAACAAGCTGGATCTGCTCGTCTTGTCCTGCAGTCCTCTAAAGTTTGTTAGCAAAGCAAAAGAGCTAACTAGTGGACATGTCCTCGTCCACCAGGCAGAGGACAGGTTACTTGAATGGATCAGGACTACCAGGTCAGGACAGCAGGTGGCCCAGCTGCAAGATCCTGGATGAAGATAAAACCTTAGAGAGTCCTAGTCAGGTACACCTTCAGACAAAGCTGCAGGGTACAGGCCAGCCTGTTCTGCAGGTCCGTCTGGGTTCTGGGCCGGCTGCCCACCAGGGCCCCATGCAGCAGCATCCCTCGGCAGGGAGCCTGGCTCTGGAGTCCGGTCCGGTCCAGCTGCTGTCACCGCTTCTTCTTCTGCTTCAGGGACTTCCGCCTCGTCAGGATCATCTCGTACAGCTTGTCCATGCCCTCATGGAGCCCCTCTCCGATGATTGCGCAGGCCGGCTGGATGTGGTAGGTGGTGTTGGGGGTCAGCTCCTGCAGGGCCAGCTGCTTCTCGATGTCCGCCACGGCCAGAGAACTGGGCAGGTCCTGCTTGTTGGCGATGACCAGCAGCGGGGTTCCCTGGTTCTCTGCGAACTTGGTGACTTTGTGCAGTTCGGTTTTGGCCTCCTCCAGCCGGTCCACGTCCACCGAGTCCACCACGTAGATGATCCCGTCGGTGCAGCGGCTGTAGGACTTCCACAGGGGCCGGAGCTTCTCCTGACCCCCGACGTCCCAGAAGTGACAGCTGATGCCCTTCGCGGTTCCGCTGCTTAGCCGGATCTTCTCCGTGTTGAAGCCGATGGTCGGAACCGTGTTGACGAACTCGTTGAACTTGAGCCGGTACAGAACCGTGGTTTTCCCGGCGGAGTCCAGACCCACCATCACGATGTGGAGCGACTGGAAGGCGGAGATGTTGGAGAAGCTGCTCCCCATCCTGGACCTTCAAAAGTGGCTTCCTGAAGCTCAGACCCGGACCATCCAGACCGGGGTGGGGGGTCCGCAGGCCCTCAGCCCCGGTGCGCCTCGGCAGATCGCAGCGCGCGGCTCATCGGGATTCTCCTCACGCACGCGACTCCACGTAGAGACCCGGAGAACAACAACAGGGCGGTCCGCTGTGCTCTCCTGTTTCCGTGATCTGAACCGGACCGCTCCGCCGGTTCCGGACTCTGCCCTCGCCTCAGCTCGTGAGGTTGACGAACCGAGCCGAGCTAGCCCTCCATGCCCCGCCCCGCCCCGCCCCGCCCCGCCCGGACCTGTGCCAGCGAGGCGCGACAAAAGGATCTGGCTGCGGCCGCTGTGGAGCTCCGCAGTTACCGGAAACACGTGATCTCTACAGTAGCCGGAAGCACGTGATCTCCACAGTAACCAGAAACCAACACGTAACTTTACTTAAATCGACTTTGACCAAATTGCGATTTTGTTAATATTGATGCTGCTGAGAAATAAAAAGCTCCTGTGTGAAATGTATGGTTGTAGTAGTGTGTCTTAGCTGTGGAGCTCCACAGTAACCGGAAACACGTGACCTCCACACCAACCGGAAGCACGAAAGAACTATTTACGCGTTACCATAGCGATCAGAGAGCATTAAGAAGCGTGCCCGTCTGAGAAAAGTGTATAAAGCATGTAGTGAGGGTTTTTTACAGTCTTAACACCTATAATAATTGTAAAAAATAAAGTTGGCTACTTCATGGATTTCACCTACCGCGGGTTATTTTTAGAACGTAACTCCTGCAATAAACAAGGGACTGCTGTATTATTAATAGTAGAGTCTGGGACATCTAACTGATTAACATCAACATTGATTATTATGCACTATTATTTTTGTTCAACGGTGATAAAGTCCTAATGTCTTCATGAAAGTTCCTTTTTTTCCCCATCTGAACATCGGGGAAAAGGCTGTCTTGCAATTGTTGAGGTCACTATGTGTGCCCCATTTCTTCCAGGATCACTCTCTTTATAGGTTTTAATGGACTCCTAGTACTGTGAAGTGGTTCCATGGTACAAAGGCATTGTATTCCAAGATCTGGGAGACTGTAGAAATGAGCAGTGATGCCCTTCCTACCATCTTTCCAGAAAAATAAGTGATCTGGAAGCTGTTAGGCTTATTTACACCAGGAGCACTTTCTGCACCTGCATAAACTCCAGGACACATTTACTAACAGTGTTTGTTGCTGTATGTGCTGCAGCTTTGAATTTTTTAATAATATATATTTTGTTAATATTTTGGTTATGCTGTCTTGTTATGAAGTGTACAAGAGTAAAAGTGTTTTTAGCATGTGCTTCAAAGCTAAGTTTGACTGGGAAACTCAAAGCTCAATAGTCTGTATCAACAGAAATTCACTGCAGCCTATGTAATATTTGATGCATCATAATTTATTCTACTCTATCTTGCAAATACATATTTGTGTGGCAATGTCATGCACAACACACACAACTATTAGATCCTTAAGATCAAACCCGTGTCATTCTTTTGGTCCACTGCAGTGCAGCAGTCAAAAAAAAAAATAATAATAAAAGTGAATCTTGAGTGAAGTGGCCACAAATGGCCAGGATACAGCCCAGAGTGCTAATGCTTAAAATGTATACAAATATTATTGATTACAATTCTTTACTGTTAATATCAACAATAAGCTTTTTATTTTGAAATTACAAGTATAAAAAAATGCTGTTACATTTACATTTAATGCTGTTACACTGTAATCCTTTCTTATAAGTATGGACATAGAATCAAGTGAACAACATTTTGAAATAAGTTTAATTGGAATTTTGTACTATACAAAAACAACAACAACATATTAAACAAACAAACAAACAAACAAACAAACAAACACAGTCAGTGCCTTCATTTGTCCATTACATGTCAAACATAGCACTGACCCTTAGTCCCTGCTCATCAGCACATGCTTTCAAAAAGAGCTCCATGTCCTCTGCAAACTGAAAAACAAACAGGAACATGTCCCTTGCTCCAGTGTCTTCTTCCTCTGACAGGTCTCTTAAGACCCTCTGCTGGTCCCCTTGATTTAAGGACAGATATTTTGGTATTGTTACGTGTCCACGGAAAAGTGCCTTATTTTGGACAACCCACTGCACAGCAGGACGCAGATCTTCAACAACTGCTGGCTCCTGTGTCAGGCACATGGGGATAAAAACACAGCTATTTCTCTGTTGCAGAACAGTTTTTGACAGTTATTCAAATGTCACTAACCATGTAATTATACTACTGTTTAAAGTGAATACTGACCTGACTGACTTCCTGGAACTTGCGCTTTTTCAGTCTGAAAATGGGCACGTGTTGTCCTTCAAGCACAGCTTTGGCTTCCTCTCTCCAGTGTGCAAATAGCTTGCCAGAGCTTAACAGAAAATGTTGATATTGTTAAGGAGTGTAAACTTTAACACAACATAGAACAGAAGTCAAAATATTAATACCTCCTTCAAGTCAAAGCTGTTTTTTTCTAACCACTGCCCGGGAATGAGCTTCACTGCAAGATTCCTTTTTTTCAAGACAGTTACATTCACAAGTTAACAGACATCATCATGATGGGTGTGAAATGTTTATTGCTAATAGCACCAACTGTAACTACAGGTCTTAGGGACACGACCTCAACAAAACAGCATGACAAAATGAAAAAGTACAGTCACATGCTCACAGTTGGTCAAAATAAAGCATTTTCAGCTTTAATTTGAGGTTGGCATATTTTATAAACTAATATTTAATGATGTTTTATGTTAAACTAAAACGTTTGAAGACCCTATTTATGTCTGAAACTCATCTAAAGACAGCATCACTGACTTGATCAGAATGTGAAGATGAGAAATAGAATAAAATGTTGAAGCATCATGCTGATATAGTTTATAAAAAAAAGCATGTGAGTGTACTCAAGATCAGCAGAACATGATCATGCACTTAACCTGGAACACTGAACAGGTTCCCGAAAATTCTGGAACAAACCAAAAAGGCTTATAAAAATGTGACCTCAAAAGTGAAACATATTGTTGGCCACCAAATCCTGCCTTTGTGTGTAATGGGTCAAGAAAGAGGATTTCTCTTTCAGGTGGCTTCAGCACTTAAAAGACAGTTAGCCATGACTTCAAACCTGAAAACGATGTCATTGCAAGCGATCACAATCAAAGACTTTTGAAACTGCGTCATAAAAGCTTGAATACTTCTCAGACACATAGCAACATTCTAACAGTTTGTATGTGTCAAAAACAAGACTTACACACAACTGGAAATGAGCAGGTGTCCAGAGGGAGAACTATGATGTCCATCCTCTGAGCATCAGTCTGAAACAGAATTTTATTTTGAAGTATTCTGTATATGAACTCTCACCAAAGTTATAAAAACATAATCTTTTTGATTACTTGCTTGTTTCTTTAAAGGACGGTACACTTACAGGAAAGGACTGTAATGGATCACAGCCATAGGGTGCAAGCCAAGTCCGGGTGACGTACAGATTTCCTATGTAAATGCTTATCCCCTAGAATGTAAAAACAGCACATTTAAAACAACAACTCTTTAAATTAAAGCTGGACAATCATCATAAACAACATACAGTACCTTTGACTGAACAATTTTAGTGATAAGCTCAAAACAGCCATTTGCAATCTGAAACAGAAAAAATCATTAAAAAAATGAAAGTACACTTTATTATTTCATATTCATAGAAACAAAATACTTACAGTCAATTCCATTTCTTTGTTTAAACCCAGTGTCCAAAAATCTGCCCGCGTGAGGCATCCAGAAGACGTTTCAACAATCAGCTCATCTTTGGGTCTGCTGATGTCCAGAACATAGTTGAGCTAAAAAAAACAGAGAGGTCATAGACTGTGGATGACAAAATCAGATAAGCACGTTCCACTTTGCAACTTCTGAAAACTTTAACATACAAGCTGTTGTTGGCCAGGGTGCGGTACAAAACACCACGATGAACGGCTGGCCAAAATGTTCTCAGGCTTTGTCAGAGCTTTGCACGGTGGTCCACACGGGTCAGGAAACGTTGCATCTGTTGACCTTCTATTGGCTTTCTTGTTGTCAACTCCTTCCTGAGGATCTGTAGGGACTTTAACAGTTTTCAGACAAAACACTGCATAGAATGCATATTAAATGCATACAAATGCAAGAAAAATAAGCACTGTTTACAGACGGAAATTCATTTGAAACAGCAGATAAGTTTGTTTACGAGCCCGCAACTACAACAAGATAATGAATGCAAGATTATTATTTCACCTATATATGACAATCACTATTCAAAATAAGAAATTTTACCAGTGTCACCAGACATTGAAGGTGCTGGGTTCAACACTGTTTCTGTGGTTTCTCTGGGTTTACTGCACACCTGTGGGGCTAGGTACACAAAGAAAACAATATGAACACACAGATAGGAACAAATCTAACATGTGAACAATGGTAGCGTTCTGGTCATGAGACAATGCATGTACTTACCTACGACAGCTTGACCCAGTGCCGACAATGAGATATTGATCTTTCCAAGTCGACCATGTCTTAGCTGCCTCTCCAGAAGCTTCTTGTTGGTGACAGTGTTATAATGATGAGTTATATTTCTCATCAGAAACACGTGTGTGGATGGACTCATGTTACTTAAAAAGTAATTGTTTTTCCTCATGTTTGCAAAGAACTGTTCAACAACTTGACTGTTCAGCCAGCCTTTCAGCTCTGGGACAAGTTGAATTCTGCGTAATATGTCCTTGGGATCTTTTGTATTTCCCTCTTGAAATCTGTCATACAGGACATAATGGTCAGATGATCCAGTGACAGGATGAGGATTTTCATTTACACTATCCATCCTTTCATGTAGCCATGGAAGATTCACTTTCAGGCTTCCATCCTGTGCAGCCTTGACATTTTCCTCAGTGGGCTCAGCCAGTCGACCTACATGTGGGTGAAATGGCAGTTTATCAGGAACCCGCAAATTGGTGTGTGCCGCCAAACCCCTCGCAAAATCGTAAACACAGACGTTTGGCATGTGCTTCCAGGACAGGAGAAGGTCAGCAAAATCCCGGGGACTTTCAGCATGAAGATTAAATTTAACGCTGTATACAATGCCATGTGGACATAGTATTACAGACCATCCTCCTGCAAGCAAAGATTTAATAAGTTGTTTGTGATTGTAATGACATATTTTAATGCTACTTCTAATAATCGCTAAGTGATGCTTACCAGAGGCACCCCATATGCTTTGAAACACCTTATCATATGTCTGCCTGCTCTTCATC